TTTCAAGTTATTAAACCCTAATAAAACAACAAAAACCAAGCTCTTGGACGATTTACTGACTGTGGATGCAGGTGTGAAAAATGTGTGTTGCCTGGCTGTGCAGAGCTTAGGGGGACCCAAAAGCTCAGCGGCCCTCAAGACGGTAGCACTACATAAACAAAAGGAATGAAGCAGCCACAAAGCATGCAGGGAATCCAGAAATTTGTGGAAAGAGATGGCCAGCAGACAGACAGCAGTCACATCATGAAACAAGATGTGTTCATGTAACCTGGACTGTAGCTGATAACTGTTGTGGTATTTTTTCCTTTGTTGCTGCTGTATTATCCTTCTGCAGTGTGGACAGGGTTAAACTGAATATTAATTAATGCAGAAGTGCAGCACCCATCTTTAAGGAGACCACTTTGTAATGCTTGGCTATGGAGTGTTTCCAGTGCAGGGGACAGCCATCTTGGCTGGGTCTGGAGGATAGTGATTGGCTGATGCAACAGAGCAAAGAGAGCGTGAACTGGGCTGTTGGAGAAAGGGAGCTCTGTTGTGCCACCAGTCCGCAGAATGTAGGGAGGAAGCAATAGTAGCGACAATGTGCTGCTACAACCATTTAGCTGTTCTGAGCTTCTGAGAGAGAGAAGCACAAGGTTGCAATGAAGGGGGAACAGTGGTGTATGGCCAGAATTTGCTGGAGCTATCTGATACTGTGCTGCCAAGGAGAAGAGGGCTGATCAGAGACTGCTGCTGCCATCATACTCTGTGCAATACTACATGTGAGGGGGCCGGTCCTACTGCTGGATGAACGCATCCCTGCATTAGCTGACCACAATTGTATATGAACTCAGAGAAGCAAAGACACTGAGAACCTTCTCCCTAAGAGGGCATGATTTGGATGCCTGGTAAGGTCAGACTGTACTAGAGACCACTCCCACCATTTGTCAGGACAGAAAAGAGGAACTGTCTCAGAGGGACTGAAAGATAGGGATCATCAGCAATTTCTATTCCTGTCTGACTTGAACTGGACTATTACTAAATCAGAGCACATGTCCAGAGACCCAGAAGAGGGTGCCCTGGGACTGGTAAGAGACTAACATCATACAAGTTAATCTGTTTTCTGCTGGGAACTGTGCAAACGTTAACTTTTGCCATTTAACGTTTTTTTTTTCCATGAGTCACTGATCAGTGGGATAAAACTGGGACTGTTAAAGCAAGTTAGAATTGTCTTTATATGCTGTTGCCAGGTAAATGCAATTCAGTTCTGTTAATTATTGCTAGTCAAAATACTAAAGGTGTTTAACCATATATTTTAGAGCAATATTGCTGTCTTATTGATGGTTTGTATAAGTACACTAGCTAAACCTTTCTTCTTATAGGCTTTGCTTGACCTAATAAAATCTATGAAATACCTCAAGGTGTGTTGGTATGTGCTTGGTGAGTTAGGTGTGTCATATTCAGGTGTGCAGAGAAATCACAAATTCAGCAGCTTCTCTGGGGGTAGCACTTCATTTATATTGGATTGCCAAAATAGTTATGGGGTTTTTTTTGCTATTAATTGCTGAGGTTATAAAGATTTTAGTGTGATTTTAGATCGTCTTCTAACCATACCCCACAGAAATACAAAAGTGCCTTTACTACTGTCTCTATACGAAGAAATTGCCATCTCCACCTGCCTATGTGACAAGATATGAGGGGAAATCTGTCTAACAGTGCCACAGACAACAGTAAAAATCTTACAGAGATTTTAATACTTCTTCACATGATACAAAACTAAAACAAAATTCTGGCTCAAGCTTTACTAACTATAAGAAAAATTTGCCAATTGCCTTTGGTTGCAGTAGTGTGTACATAGCAGTGCTTTGATTATATAGAATAAAATAGTTTTGTGAGCCTCATATGAAGGGGACATGGTTAGGTGCCTTATGGTGCCAGGATAGGTGCCAAATCCCCTAACACTTGGGATTGGGGGGTGGGAAGCAGTACCAGCACTTAGAGGCTGGAAGACAAGGGGGTGGGTGGGCAGCAGGACTCCCTGTCCTCCCACGCTGCTTTGTGGTCTCACATTCCTCACCCTGTGTCCTTGGCCGGCACCTCTCTCCTGCCCCATAGGGCAGAGCTGAGTCTAGTGTCTCCCCAGCCAGAGTTCTGGGCTCCCTAGAGTCACCTTCATCTCTCCCTGTGTACAGAGCCCAGGCAGAGCTTCCCAGAACTTCCAGCACACTTGTGCAGCCCTATGAAAGCCAACTCCCTGAAGGACACAACAGGCATACTGTATCTCACAACCCCCCTCCCCACCACACAGAGATCTTTCCCAGAGAGTCCATGGATCTAAGGATGTGGCCTCCTGTGCTGATTGCCCTGACCATGCTGCTGCTGTTGGTGGGAGCCTGGGCAGCCATGGACAAGTGCTTAGAGGGCGGCTGGCTACAGAGCTGCATGCTGGAGTTCATCAATTTGGCTTTCAAGGTGACCATGGCGGCCACTAATACATGCGACTCCCTGCTGGAGGAGTACTGTGTGCAAACTGGAGACATCTAAGGAAAGATTATTACTGTATCTGCATACAGAATGCGAGAAGAATAGAAGAAGGAACCTCTCTGAATACAGAGAGGTACTGAACACGCAGGCTCTCTAAGGAGTCCAGCACATGGATGCAGTTGTTAGGAATGGACTGGCCAGCAATGGTGGGACTCACCTGCCTTTTGATCTGCAGTACCAGGGCTGGCCAGCGGGTGCTCCCAGCAATCAGAGACTCAACCTTTCAGCCAGCTAACACCTGGAACTGATGATACTGGGGTATTTAAGGGATGGCCAGACTTGCAGACTCTGCCTTGGTGTTGTGTTTGTCCTGGGCCCTGTATCTGTCCTGCATCCTGTTTCTGGTCCTTTGCTGACTTCTGCTCTGATCCTGGCTTGTGACCCTGACCATCCCTCTGTCTGACCCTCTGTACTACGCTGCTTGCTACCTGTTCTGATCCCTGGCTTGTGACCCGGACCATCCCTCTGCCTGACCCTCTGTACTACGCTGCTTGCTACCTGTTCTGATCCCTGGCTTGTGACCCGGACCATCCCTCTGCCTGACCCTCTGTACTATGCTGCTTGCTACCTGCTGAACCTGGCCTGTGACCCCCGACCATTCTCCGCTTGCTCCCCCTGTACCTACCTGCCCAATTGATATTGACCCGGCCTGCCTGACGACGCTTGCTTGTATGTACTGTTATCTGTGGGTGGTTGGTTTGGTTTGGTTGCACTGTATTGTGTTTTAGTATTGCACTGCTTTTATGTTTGTACTGTTAGTGTTAATAAATTATATTGTTTATAATATATCTGAGGTCTGCGTTTCCCTGCTTCAGTCACACACCTCTGGTCATACCTGGGAGCCCCTGACATTACACCAAGGCCAATCCTGACCAGAAGTGGCTGCACAGGGAAGCCATCTTGGCTTGTTGATGGGAAGGATGGATCTTGAGGAGGTTGAGTATTTATATCTGCTAGTGTTTGATGACAGGGAGTATGCTTATCAAACTCTGAAGGAGTATACCCGGGATGAATTGCTAGAATGTATACGGCTCGCTCATGTTCTAGTAGATCAGGGCACAGTGTTCTCTGAGGTGCAGCCATTGATTGAGGTTTGTGCAGAGTTGGTTTCATCTGGTTCCCCCGAATGCAGGGATGAATTTTTGCCACCATTTAGTGCAGACCAGGTAGAGTCCCTGGTGTGGTTATTAGAGGATGATGTGGGTTACTTTCTGGAGCGTTATTCCACATGTTCACACCACAGACACTGAGAGATTGTATAAACGCAGTGCAGTCATTGACCAGACAGACTTTGTGTAAGCTCAGCTTTGTTCAACCCCTACTGCAGACATGGACAGATTTGTTGCACCCAGCCTCAGTCAGCTTACAAAGACCCAGTCCTGCTTCTAACTCTACTCCTGTATTCCCACCAGCTCCTCCAGTTACAGCCCAGTATACTTGGCTATCTACCGCATGTCAGTACCCTGTTCCCACTCGCTGCACCTATCCTGCCTTTAACCCTGTAAAAAAGCCCTCTGTAGCAACTGCTCCCTCTCCTGTTCCATCCTCCAGTTCTTCTCTGTCTCCAGCTGCTCCATTCGTTTGCAGACCTGCGTTTACTTGCAGTGCTCCAGTAGTTAAAACCAGAAAAAAGCGAAAAATTCTTTCCAACCAATACCATCCTGCCAGTATCCAAACCGGTGAGCCTGCCTTCCGTGGTTCAGACTGATGCCTGTACGCAGCCTGATGCCTCTACTCGGCCTGAAGCCTCTACTCGGCCTGAAGCCTCTACTCGGCCTGAAGCCTCTACTCGGCCTGATGCCTGTACTCGGCCTGATGCCTCTACGCGGCCTGAAGCCTCTCCTCAGCCTGAAGCCTCTACGCGGCCTGAGCCTCTACGCGGCCTGATGCCTCTACGCGGCCTGAAGCCTCTACGCGGCCTGATGCCTCTACTCGGCCTGATGCCTCTACTCGGCCTGATGCCTGTACTCGGCCTGATGCCTGTACTCGGCCTGATGCCTCTACTCGGCCTGATGCCTCTACTCGGCCTAATGCCTCTACCCAGCATGATGAACTGATCCAGCCTGACGATCCTATTAGGCCAGTTGACTCGATGCCCGCTGTTGATCCAGATGATCCGGTACCTGATCCGGTGCCCGCTGTCGTGCCAATTGACTCAGAGCCCGCTGTCGTACCTGGTGACTCGGTGCCCACTGCCTTGCCAGATGACGCGGTGCCCGCTGGCAAGCCAAATGACCTGATGCCTGGTGACCTAGTGTCCGCTGTCATACCTGATGACCCGATGCCCGCTGTCGAGCCAGACAATCCGGTACCTGATGACCCGGTGCCCACTGTCGTGCCTGTTGACTCGGAGACCACTGCCTTGCCAGATGACGCGGTGCCCGCTGTTGAGCCAAATGACCTGATGCCTGGTGACCCGATGCCCGCTGTCCAGTCAGACGATCCAATGTCTGACCCAGTGCCCGCGGTCATACCAGTTGACTCGGAGCCCACTGCCTTGCCAGATGACGCGGTGCCCGCTGGCAAGCCAAATGACCTGATGCCTGGTGACCTAGTGTCCGCTGTCATACCTGATGACCCGATGCCCGCTGTCGAGCCAGACAATCCGGTACCTGATGACCCGGTGCCCACTGTCGTGCCTGTTGACTCGGAGACCACTGCCTTGCCAGATGACGCGGTGCCCGCTGTTGAGCCAAATGACCTGATGCCTGGTGACCCGATGCCCGCTGTCCAGTCAGACGATCCAATGTCTGACCCAGTGCCCGCGGTCATACCAGTTGACTCGGAGCCCACTGCCTTGCCAGATGACGCGGTGCCCGCGGTCGAGCCAAATGACCTGATGCCTGGTGACCCGATGCCCCGCTGTCCAGCCAGACCATCCAATGTCTGACCCAGTGCCTGCGGTCATACCAGTTGACTCGGAGCCCACTGTCGTGCCTGGTGTCTCGGTGCCCGCCGCTCCGCCTGGGGGCCCGAGACCTGTTGCTCCGCTTGGGGGTCCAGCGCCCGCCGCTCCGCCTGGGGATCCGGCCCGCCGCCCCGCCCCGAGACCTGTCGCTCCGCCCTGGGGCCTGAGACCTGTCGCTCCGCCTGGGGGCCTGAGACCTGTCGCTCCGCCTGAGGGCCCGAGACCTGTCGCTCCGCCTGGGGGTCCGGCACCTGCCACTCCGCTTGAGGGCCCGAGACCTGTCGCTCCTCCTGGGGGTCCGGCGCCCCGCCGCTCCGCCTGAGGGCCCGAGACCTGTCGCTCCACCTGGGGGTCCGGCGCCCGCCGCTCCGCCTGAGGGCCCGAGACCTGTCGCTCTCCATCTGGGGGTCCGGCGCCCGCCGCTCCGCCCTGAGGGCCCGAGACCTGTCGCTCCTCCTGGGGGTCCGGCGCCCGCCGCTCCCCCTGAGGGCCCGAGACCTGTCGCTCCTCCTGGGGGTCCGGCGCCCGCCCGCTCCGCCTGGGGGCCCGAGACCTGTCGCTCCGCCTGGGGGTCCGGCGCCCGCCGCTCCGCCTGAGGGCCCGAGACCTGTCGCTCCACCTGGGGGTCCGGCGCCCGCCGCTCCGCCTGAGGGGCCCGAGACCTGTCGCTCCTCCTGGGGGTCCGGCGCCCCGCCGCTCCGCCTGAGGGCCCGAGACCTGTCGCTCCGCCTGGGGGTCCGGCGCCCGTCGCTCCGCCTGAGGGCCCGAGACCTGTCGCTCCACCTGGGGGTCCGGCGCCCGCCGCTCCCGCCTGAGGGGCCCGAGACCTGTCGCTCCTCCTGGGGGTCCGGCGCCCGCCGCTCCGCCTGAGGGCCCGAGACCTGTCGCTCCATCTGGAGGTCCGGCGCCCGTCGCCCCGCCTGGGGGCACGATGCCCGTCGCCCCGCCTGGGGGCACGATGCCCGTCCGTCCCGCCCCGCCTGGGGGCCCGGTGCCCGTTGCCCCGCCTGGGGGCCCGGTGCCCGTCGCCCCGCCTGGGGGCCCGGTGCCTGTCGCCCCCCCGGGGGGCCCGTGCCTGCTGCTCCGCCCGGGGGCCCGGTGCCTGCTGCTCCGCCCGGGGGCCCGGTGCCTGCTGCTCCGCCCGGGGGCCCGGTGCCTGCTGCTCCGCCCGGGGGCCCGGTGCCTGTCGCCCCGCCCGGGGGCCCGGGTGCCTGTCGCCCCGCCCGGGGGCCCGGAGCCTGTCGCCCCGCCCGGGGGCCCGGTGCCTGTCGCCCCGCCCGGGGGCCCGGTGCCTGCTGATCCGCCCGGGGGCCCGGTGCCTGCTGCTCCGCCTGGTGGCCCGCTGCCTGCTGCTTCGCCTGGTAATCCGATGTGCCTCTGCCCGGAGTCCTGCCCGATGTGCCTCTGCCCGGAGTCCTGCCCGATGTGCCTCTGCCCGGAGTCCTGCCCGATGTGCCTCTGCCCGGAGTCCTCTGCCCGATGTGCCTCTGCCCGGAGTCCTGCCCCCGATGTGCCTCTGCCCGGTGTGCCTCTGCTCGATGTGCCGCTGCCCGGAGTCCTGCCCGGTGTGCCAGTCTTTGATATCCCGCCAGTTGCCAGACCCGGGCGGTGGAACATTTTGCCCAGCTAGGACTGTTTGGAGCGTCCTGAGGCCGCTCCTTGAGGGGGGGGTACTGTTAGGAATGGACTGGCCAGCAATGGTGGGACTCACCTGCCTTTTGATCTGCAGTACCAGGGCTGGCCAGCGGGTGCTCCCAGCAATCAGAGACTCAACCTTTCAGCCAGCTAACACCTGGAACTGATGATACTGGGGTATTTAAGGGATGGCCAGACTTGCAGACTCTGCCTTGGTGTTGTGTTTGTCCTGGGCCCTGTATCTGTCCTGCATCCTGTTTCTGTTCCTTTGCTGACTTCTCCTGCTCTGATCCTGGCTTGTGACCCTGACCATCCCTCTGTCTGACCCTCTGTACTACGCTGCTTGCTACCTGTTCTGATCCCTGGCTTGTGACCCGGACCATCCCTCTGCCTGACCCTCTGTACTACGCTGCTTGCTACCTGTTCTGATCCCTGGCTTGTGACCCGGACCATCCCTCTGCCTGACCCTCTGTACTATGCTGCTTGCTACCTGCTGAACCTGGCCTGTGACCCCGACCATTCTCCGCTTGCTCCCCCTGTACCTACCTGCCCAATTGATATTGACCCGGCCTGCCTGACGACGCTTGCTTGTATGTACTGTTATCTGTGGGTGGTTGGTTTGGTTTGGTTGCACTGTATTGTGTTTTAGTATTGCACTGCGTTTATGTTTGTACTGTTAGTGTTAATAAATTATATTGTTTATAACATATCTGAGGTCTGCGTTTCCCTGCTTCAGTCACACACCTCTGGTCATACCTGGGAGCCCTGACAGCAGTATTGCTGGTACAGGACTCAATGCAGTGATCACAATCAGCACAAATAGCCTGAAGAAGACAGACTAGACAAGAGGAAAGAAAAGAACGAAGACAAAAAAAAAAAAGGGGGGGGGGGGCTCCAGGGGGACCGCAGCAGAGAAAAAAAGAAATAGAGAAAAAAAAATAAACTGGTATATAAGGTTTATATCGACAGGAGGCACTGGTCGAATCTCGACGGCTGAGCTATATCGAGCCAAGGACGCCATGTCTGTAAAAATTTTGTATGGGTGTCTAACAGTATAGCTGTCAACTTTTCGTTGACCATTATAAAGTTCATCCGGTTTTTGACAGCCTCGAAGCTGAGGAGGGGAGTCTTCCAAGCCCTCGCAATCATCAGCTTGGTGGCCATGAATAAGTGCGATGCCAGCTGCCGTTCGGGATGAAGTAGGCCCACTAATGGTTTAAATAACAGCGCTTCGTACGGGTTGCGCTTAATGTCTGTGTGAAACATAGTGCGGAGAAGGGCATAAACTCTGATCCACAATCTGCACAGCTTGGGGCAAGTCCACCAAATATGGACCATGGTACCCATGTTGACAACGCCAAAAACAAGTCGGGGAATATGTGCAAAATAAAACGAGCCAGACGAGCAGGCGTGTAATACCATCTATAAAGAACCTTATAGGCGTTTATAACATTCCTAGAACATTTGGATAATTGTTGGGTCATGGTCCGCCAATCCTGCTGACCTAGAGTGCCCCCGAGTTCCGACTGCCAACGTTGATGATAAGAATGAACTGAAGGAGTTCTATGAGAAATAATGGAAGAGTAGACTAGAGAAATTAAGCCCGGAGCATGGGGTCTATGTCTACATTGACTTTCAAAGGGAGTTAACCTGTAGGGTCCCAAATGTGTCTGTACTAATGTACTGATAAAGTGGTGGATTTGAAGGTATCCAAAATGTTCCCGCAATGGGATATTGTAAGAAGAGCGCAGAGTCTCAAAGGCGAGTATCCGAGTGGGAGAGAGCATGGAATGTATATCATGGAAGCCATTTGCTTGCCACCAAGCAAACTGTCCAGGATTGTCACGACCTGGGGGCAATAATAAGTTGTGTAGCAATCATAATAACGTTAAGTGGGCAGAAATGAGGCCAGCTGAATAATAGAGTCCCAAAGACGGAGCGTTAGCGTCAGCGTCAGACTAAGGGATGAGGGTCAATGAGTAGAAGGAAGCCATGGTAAAAGAGAGTGGAATCGGGTGGGAGTCCATCAAGTCCACAATAGCCCACAGGGGAAAATGGTGAGATGCATGGAGATGGGCTATGGGGGCAATCTTGCAGCCAGATAGTAAGACTGAAGGTTTGGGACAGATAACCCACCCTCGGGCAAATAATATTTTGTTTGCTGATTCTGGGTCGAGAGGAACTCCAAATGAAAGACAGGAGTTTTCGCTGATGAATACGCAATATATGTGAGGGAACAGGGACTGGTAAAACTCGAAACACGTACAATAATTTGGGAAGATAGGTCATGCGGACCGCATTGATTCTACCGAATCACGAAAGCGGATAGTGAGACCAGGAGGACAACATTTCCGTCAAGTCATTAAAAACAGTGGGGAAATTAGCCCGATAAAGTCCTTCGTAAGTCGGAGTAAGCTTGATTCCTAAATACGGCAAGGCAGGAAGCCATTGAAAAGGGAATGAATGTTTCAGAGTCTCCAAGAGTGATGGTGAGAGGGTAATTGACATAGCTTTGGACTTGGCAGGGTTAACATAGAGGTCTGAAAGAACTGCAAAGGAATCCAAAACCGCAAGTAAGTTTGGCAAAGTAACCCCCGGGTTCGTAACCGACAACAATATATCGTCAGCGAACATAGATAACTTGTGTTGGGAACCAGCTACATCTATTCCCTTAATATCAGGATGCATACGAATGGCTTCTGCCAAAGGTTCCAAAGCCAAGATAAATAGTATGGGAGAAAGCGGGCAACCTTGTCTAGTCCCCCTGCCAATCGAAAATGTTGAAGACTCAAAACCATAATATTTGAGTTTTGCTTGAGGGGATGTACATAGCGAGGAAATCCAACGCAAGAACGAGGGACCAAAGCCAAAATGATGAAGGACCGACATAAGATAAGGCCAGGACAAGGTGTCAAAGGCCTTGTTGATATCTAGAGATAGGAGCATCATATCAATTTTGCGAGTATAGGCCAAGTGTTGTAACTGTATAATACGTCTGATGGCATCTCCGGCTTGTCTGTGGGGGACGAAACCCACCTGATCCTTCTTAATCAAACGAGAAAGAAAAGAATTCAAACGAGTGGCTAAGATCTTAGTAAGGATTTTCATGTCAATGTTAATAAAAGAAATTGGTCTGTAATTTCCCCAAGAGGAATGATCCCGATCCGGTTTGGGGATCATAACCACATTAGCAGTCAAAGAGTCAGGGGAAAAGTTTGAACCTCTCTTCACCGCATTGAACATAGCGGCAAGGTGAGGGGCAAGCACATCAGCCAATTTTTTGTAATACGAAGCTGTGTATCCATCTGGACCTGGGAGTTTGCCCGTCTTCAGATCTGCAATGCATTGCAGAACTTCCGATACTTGAATATCACGGTCCATCAGGTCCTTATCAGCCTGAGTCAAAGTAGGTAAGGACAAATGAGTTAAAAAAAATCAGAGATAGATTGGGGATCAGCCCGTGTAGGATCCGCATAAAGTCTGGCAAGTCGATGCTAGAACTCCTCCAATACCGCTACAGGATTACTGGTGAGAACATTCTGACGAGTGCGTAGAGAAATCGGTTTAGGATGGTGCGCGAAAGAGCGTAATTATGTGCTAACATGGAATCTGGTTTATTTTCTTTACTATACCACTTCTGACGTGTCCATCGCAAAGAGCGCTCAGCCTCATCAGTCAAACAGAGATCTAGTTCCAGGTGAGCCTGATCTAACAACCTATGGTTCAATGGGGTTGATACCTGCTTGAATTGAGCCGACGCGGAAGCTAGCTTTTATTCCAGCTGACACTGTTTGTGTTGTCTATCCCTCTTCCGCCTTGAAGCTATCTGAATAATGTGGCACCTAAGAACAGCCTTGTAAGCTTCCCACAACGTCACCGAAGAAGAGACAGAACCCGAGTTTAGCTGAAAATATTCTTGAGATTTACGCAATAGTTCCGCTTGAATCTCCTTCAGTGAAAGTAGAGTCATTCATAATCCAAGAGGAGTAGGATGGCTTACAGAGGAGCGATTGACAAACCACCAAAATGGGGTTATGATCGGACCATGGAAACGTGAGGATAGAGACGGAGCGTACCAAAGGAAGATGTTTACACAATACAAAAGCATGGTCAATTCTAGAATTAGAATGATGAGGATAAGAGTAGTAAGTATAATCTTTTCCCCGGGGGGTGAAATTCACGCCACAGATCCACCAGGTCATGGGTATTTAACGTACGGCTGAAGGATTTGGCCGACGAGGAATAATTAGAGTTTTCTGCAGGGTATTCATCTAGGGATGGATTTAATACTAAATTGGAATCTCCTGCCAGCAGAAGAGTACCCCGTTGATGGACAGCCAAGAGGGAGCAGATATGTGATAGAAAGGGTCCAGGGTTAACACTGGGAGCATAATAGGTCAGTATTGTACCATCGATACCCTGAATTGTGCCCTGTAATAAAAGATACCTGCCACTTGGATCAGCAATACGCTTCACACATACAAATGGGGTTTTGCCGTGAAAAGCAACAAGGACTCCCCTTTGT